AGTGTTGTTCCCATGAAGTCTCCAACCTTCTCTATGCAGGGTCAAGTAGGACTCTGGGACACTCTCCATGAGATGCTGAGGAACTAACAGCTAATGGTAGAGAAGCGGATGCGTCCCTAAGAAAATTTTCCTTTAATGCCAGTTAAGATACGAAGGGCACCATCCCATTCCCACGAAGATGAAAGATTGGCCAGGTAACTGTCCTGGCTCACCAAAAGCAGAGCAGATTGCAATATGAAAATATGAAGATCAGAAGACCCGTAGAAGCCACACAAAGATCAACCCAGTATCTCTTGCTCTCATCAGAGAGAGTCTCCCTATCCTGGTCATACACAAAACCATTCAGATCTTGGGTTAGTTTGAGAGCCTGTTACTCTTTTGCTTCTTACTAAATTAAAGTTGTTGTAAAACCACTTTCTCTGTAGAGTAGACATCTTACTTCAGAAAAACTTGCAGCATGATTTCAGACAACATCTTTGTAACCAGTTTGGGGAGATGCAGAGTAGACTACAAGGTGGACAGAAACCTGTCTGGATTTTCAAGCTCAGAGGGCAGCAGTGAAGAGTTGGACACCAAGAAGTTACAGGAGGCATCCCCCACGGGCTCATATTCAAGCTAAAACTGTTTAATACTGTCATATTTAACTCAATAATCAATAATCTCAACTGTGGGATGGAAATACAGAACCACTACTTCTTGCCAAAGGCAATTCCTAGAAAGGGGCAGAGGAGTCCAGGGCAGAAGGGAGGCAGACTGCATACTCAGTTGGATCATAACAGGACTCTACTGTGAAGAGATTTGAGATGCAATTTAACCTTCCAGAAAGGAAAACAGCTGGGATTTTGTGCTGAAGGTACTTTCACAGTAAGTCAAGCATTCAGCTTCTCCTCTACACATTCAGGCCACAGAGAAAATGATCACAGTTATGTAGCTTCTAAACAAAACACCAAGCCATTTAGCATAAAATAAAATGCACTTAAATCAGATGCCAGGCCACACTTGTAGAGTAAGAAAGAGAGCCTGCTATGGCAGCTTGGGGAGAGAACAAAGTGTTATCCTGAAGTATGAACAGAGTAAAAAAAACATTACTCATGAGAACCTCAACCCTCATCCCTTTACAAAATATAATTTACAGTCCTTTAAAAAGATGATTAGACTTTTTGGTAGAGGTCAAGAATGGTTTAGCTGACTGAAGCAAATGACACTAATAATATAATCATCTTACATGTTAGCCAGGGAATTGCAGATGTTGCACATCCAGGTATTTCTATTAGCTTGTGATTAACAAGGTGACACAGTTGAAGGAACAAGCTCAGCAAAATCCTAAAAACAACATTTAAAAAATACTTATTTAATGCCAACACCAAAAGCATTTACTCGATGCTTTCAGTTTTGTTTTGTTTCCTGTTGTGATGGTTTCTGGTTTGGGGATTTTGTGGTTTGCTGCTGCTGTTTTTTTTCTCCCCCCAAACACATAATACATAGTAGATTGTACACATCATCTGCAAATATTAAAGTTATAGCTAATTTATTACAGATATTATTTCCCTGATACTGAAACAACATTTTATATGTATATATATAAATATTTCTACATTAATATAAATGCATGCAAACCAAATCAGAAAATAGAAGTCTTGAGTAAAGAATGGCTAAACTTGCAAAAAATTACAAATTGTGCACTTTGCAATTATTTGTGGTCACAATTTTATCAACCTGTTCAAGCTTGCAGTCTCTAACTCTGATCCCAGAGGGAAAAAAATATTCTTTTTGCTGTCAGTTTTGCTTTGCACAAAGAAATCTGTCAGTATTATCAATTATATTTTCAATATTTCGCTTACAGGAAAAAAGAGTTTTTGAGTGGAATTACACGTCACTTGAAACTGTGGCACACGGTTTAAGAAACAAGAATCTCTGCAAAGGAATAGTAACATCATCAAAAAGTGTGATTTTCAAGTACCATGCACAAAAAATTGTTGAAATATCAACCAGCTTAAGTAGGGGAAGGCAGAGGTGAAGCATCAGTGTCATTTTTCCCCGCAATTTCTGCCTGTCTCTTTGTAAAAAGTGCCAGCAATATACAAACCATGAGAACTACAACAGGTAGTAGAGACGAGTAGTCTGTACTGTTTTTAAGAAAATGAAATCAACATTGGCCAAGTTTCTTTATTTCATATTTCACATCTTCACTCAATACTGTTACTGAATGTTTGAAAAATTGTCCTGTACACCATGAATATACAAAATTTATCTGAAGCGTTAAATCTGTAAAAATAGACAATTCAGTCAGACCAAGTGTAACTGGAGACACAGCAGACAGTAAAGGGATTGCTTATCTGGGCTGAAGACGTAGTCAGAAAGTAAGATTTAACTAAAAGAATCACAGATTATTAAGGAAACAGAACTAGGTAAATTAAGATTTTACTAATTTGTCAGAAGATAGGAGAGATAAAGGTAATGGATTTTATTTTAAATCAATAAGCATAATGTCACTTTTTAGAGACACCTCGGCGGTCTAATTACATACAGCTAGAAAACTCACTGCCTTCAGGCACCCTCATATCAAGTGCAAATCTGCGCAGTTATAGAATATATTTATAAAATATACTATATGCAAACATCTTTACAGAGCTTTAAATCAAGCCAAAAAGTAAATATACTTGATGAAGACAACAGGAAAAAAAAAAAATGAATCAATGCAAAAATGTGGGCAGTGAGATTGTGGCCCTTCAAAGCCAGAAGAAACCATTCAGTTTGTCTGCAACAAGGAGATGGGATTTGCACCTTAAAAGTTGACTGTTAACAAAAAAGAAAACATCCTCTGTGCTTCTGCAAATTAAAATAACATTAGCTTTTGTGACATTTTACGTATTGTCATTATCTTAAATTATCTTCTAAAGCGCAATGTCAACCCTTGAATACCAATAACCAACCACATAATTGAAAGGGTTTCCCAGCTAAATTCAAATTACAAACTACATGATTCTAAGGAGTGCAATGCTCTGGAAAAAGCTTTAAATTAAATTATTTTACTTGTAAATCTAGTGTTAGGTTTTTTTAGTTAAAAAAACAACTGGAAGCAAGAAAGCTGCAAGAGTACAAATGACAAAATCATTTTAGATACACCAAGTGAAAGTGAATTATCCACTGATGCAGACAGAAACATCCATTTGCTACATTATTTGCTTCCTTACTTCATTCCATTGCGTGTACACACAGCTTAAGTATTAAAATGCAGAATAATAAATAAGACGGCTCAGATTACTAGCAAGGGGCAAAACACAATCCATAATTGTGCTCTATCTAGTTTCTGTTTCAGCAGTCTTTTTCTCTTGCAGTTTATAAGAAAAAATCATAGTCAGACTTCCAAAAAGAGTCATTCTTTTTTTTATCAGAAACTCAAGTTCATTTGCCCAGGTTTATAACCCAAGACATTTCTGTGAAGGAAGCACAGTGCAAATTATATGACTAATAAAACTTGCTTACATAGAAAGAAGTTTACTTGATTAATGTTAACTGGTATCTTTATGAAATACATTGTAAAACAAAGATTAAATAACAGGACTGGGTTTGGTTTGTTGTTTTTGTTGTTGTTTTTTTTTTTTTCCCCTCAGACTTTTTTTCTTAATCCTTTGAAAAGCTTACTGAGTTACAAAAATCTTAACAGAGTCCCACTCTTCAGCAGATAACCATTATAAATGCTGCCAATCAATGCCAACTAGTGTTTGATTTGCTTCTTGTGCATGTCCAATTTCCTCTGTGATACTGTGCTGCTGCCAGAGTTTCTGAATCTTTTTAAATCGTTCTCTGCACAGATGTAAGGGATTCCCACGTCTGAAAGGAGATAATATGTATTAGGAATGATAAAACACTGCAACTAAGAGCAAAAATTCAGCTGCAACACATTAAATATTAGATAACCTCTTAAAATATTTAGATAACCCTTTAACATTCCTCTCTTGTCAGAGCAAATCAACAGATATTTTTATTAGCAAACTGGAGTGCTACCTTGTCTGGTCCCCCACCCTTACTGCTCAACAGTTCCCTCCAGCCTTTGGGAATCTCACATACAGTACACCAAAGTCTGGACGTAGGTTTTCAGCAATGTGTCCATGCTGAACCAGCTTACATTCCATGATTTTGACCAGTTTCAGAAGTAGCAAGCACTAACAACATTGAGTTCCCAAACTATTTTCATAAGAAGCAGAGAGAGGAGTTAAGACAAAGAACTACCACATTAAATAAAATAATCTCATAGCATTTTCACTTGGTATTAAATTAACACAGATTATGCAAATAAATGCAGTACATATAAATAAAATTTTCAGCCCTGGTTTCGAGGCAACTTCAAAGATGCTAAAAAAAAAATTAAGTTTTTACACCTTAAGACTACTGTTTATAACCTAGGAAGGATATTCCATTAAACATTTTTAACTTAAAAAACACATATTAGCATTAAAATGTTTGAAGATATTAGATGCAACAGCAATGTCACATTATAATATTACCTATATAATTAAAATAAAAAGGAAACATAGAAAGTGTATTTTACAAACCAGACAGTTTTAGAATTCCTGTCTTTAAAAGGTACATATTTTTAAATATTTACCTGAGTCCCTGGTCTGTCTCTCCATAGTCATCGAGATAAGGAGGAGGATAAAAGCAGCCCTTTGTTTTTCCAGCTAAAAATAGCACCTGACATTCTCGTACTCTAGAGAAACACAGAGAAGAAGATTTTAGGTATTGATTTTTAGGCGAATAATTTCTCATATTTCCATAGACACTACTTTTCCAGTTCTCACCTACTGTCATTCTGTATAACCTGCACGTAGAGATTTTTAAAGGTACTTTTGTTTTTTTAAAATTAAAGATCATATTCCCTTCCTGTTATTAACTCCTTGGTAGCAGTTAAAAACAATGTAGTTTCATGTCATATTATTTGCAGTCTGTAAAACACTTGACACAACCACAACAAGAAAATAAAACAATTTCACTTCTCACCAATCTTTGCCAAAGTGAAAACAGATATTATCTAACATTTCCTTGTATTCAGGAAGACAACCAAAATGAATTTTCATACTTTCAACAGCAGCAGCAGCAACAAAATCAAGGTAGATACCTTAATTGTTTTGTAATACTTGAGTGAAAATAAACACACAGAAAAAACAAACGCACTTTAAAATGAAATTCAAATTTTGTACAATACCTGATCTTCAAGGAAATAACATCTGAACCTTACAACAAGGTATAAGGAAGATAAACACACTCCAGTTTTTAGACAACCCTGTTATTAACAAATCACTGCCTTTACAAACCATGCCTACAATCACATTTATAGAACTATTCATGTCATGTCCACACACACCATCTAACCTAGCAATGTAAGTAGAGGTGTTCAGTTCCTTACCTAAGGAATATGCCCACTCCAGAACCACAAGTGTATGTATGTGCAGTACAGGCTCCAACATCTTCTCCTTCCAATTCAGTCTGACAACAGTAACTCTGAGAACACAGCATGGTTCCACACACAAGGCACAATGTTGGGGCTCTGCTTTTATCACCACCTGACTTCGGACACCTTTTGTTGAGCAAAAAAATTAAAATCCATTGTAGGTATTGACTTTAGATGGTAAAAAGATTCAAAAGTACTTTTGAACATTTAGACAGTTAACAATTATACAGATCCCTGCAATTTCTATTTCACCGAAATACACAGCAGTTCTGCTGGAAGAGATGACAATCAGTATGTGCCACTAACTTTATGATTCTACAAACATCTTTCTGAGGCTTTCAGGTTAGAGGTTTCCCAGTTCATCAAAAGGAGCAGAAGACTTTAGAGGTCCTCACTATAATTGCATACAACTTACGAGAAATTGGATGCTTGGTTAATGAGGCAGCTGTAGTCGTCCGGGAGGTCTATTAATTTGTTGGATTCTCTTGCATAGCTAGAATAAAGCAATCAAATTAACCAACCACTCATATTTCAATGAATAATACACAGTGATTTCAAACTCATTCATGTTTTCCTGACTCATCTAAACAGCATCTGTGAACAATCACATTTTTATAGTTTTCCTCTTCTCTGCCATTCATAGAGTAAAATGGCAGCACATAAAAAAGGAATCCCCAATATCTCTCAGCTAAACCACCTCCAGTTTTCTTAGTTGTATTTTTTATGAATTTGAAAATTCTCGCACAGGCAGAAAGTCAGAAAAATACATGTCTCATGTAGGCTTTTAGCAAAGCCTTGTTATGAGGTCACTACAGGTTTAATCAAATATTTGTTCTGCTCTCTTATCAGTTTGCTTTGTATTTTCCTTTTGTCACTAATATTGAATGGAAAATAGTCTGACACTCAAGTTCAGAGAACTTGTATACTGAAGAGAATGAAATGTTCATGCAATGAAAAGGACCTGTTTAATACCAGTATTTATATCTTTAGAAATAACAGTTTGTTTTTTTGTTGTGGTTTTTTTTGCAGATGCTATACACCAAATTTTGAAAAACTTCAACTCTAGAAGAATACAAATTAGATTGTGAAATGTAAATAGAGGTTTGTAACAGAAGTAGTGTGTAAGAACATGCTGAGAGAAAAAAAAAAAATCACTGTTAAGTTAAACAATTTTGGGAAGAGTGGTTAAGAATCAGCAGAAGGAACATATGGAAAAATTCCCAACAATCACACATAACAGGAAATCAGTTATGCAACCAGAGTATTCTGTTCATAGCCTGGTATTTAACAGATGAAGTGATTAATTTTTATTTTTGTCACTGAGCCTTACTGAAATGTACAATGTTGAAAGATTGACTTTATGTACTTAGCACAGGAGACTAAAATGCAGGGATATATTTTTAATGACAGCACTGTGAACCTCATATTCATTTATAATTATTTGGATGATTGATAACCACTATTTTTACCCAGTCTTCATAAAGAAAAACACCCCAAATGCTCTTCTACACCCACTAAGCATTAAATGTGTTCTGAATTAAAAATAATTGCTTAGCAAATAGAAATGTACAAAAAGCAAATTTTCTTTTTAGCAAGTCACTCGTTGATTTCACTGAAGAATTTGGATTCTTTAAAAAGCTCTTCAATGCCTGGTATTTTTAAACAAAGTTTATATATGTCTTTTAGCAACAGCACACCTTTTGAATCAGAAGGTACAAATTACCATAGGAAACATGAGAAGAAATGTTATAGTCTCTGATTACTGCAGATCAGTCTAAATAAAACCATAATATTTAATTTTGTATTTAAAAATCTACTAATTTAAGCAGTATTTCACTTTTCTTACAAAATTACAAAAATCTCTTTGCTTATCCCCCAATTTCTTTATCATTCAATAAAGCAGAACTGATACTATGTTATTATAAACATCCTTTAAAGTTTCTCTCCTCTTTCTGCTTAAAACTTCTCCAAGTTTACCTGATAGCACATCTCTTGCCTTCGAGATATCTTTTTACTTCATTGTTACTACACCAACTGTAAGAAAGAAAAAAATTGGCTTTTGACATCAATGGATGACACTTTCCAGAAATAAATAAGTGAAAATTCCAAAGTATGTCTATTCAATAATCTCTACAACCAAAATTATTTCTTTCAAAACACTTCTTTCACAAATGCTTTTCAAAGTGTACTATTCATTTCCATATATGTACTCCTGGGAGAATACTTATACTACTATCCTGTGCAGAATTCATTATTATATTTAACCTAAACATAAAAACACAACTTACCTTTCTATTAATGTGTTCAGAATTTCACTATTTTCTTGAAAAAGGCAAGTAAGGTTGTTTGGCAAGGAAAGATAGCTACATAGGTGTTCAAACTGGTTTGTTCCATTTGCTGTAAAAAAAAAAAAAAAGAGTGTAAGTCTCATAACTGCATATTTTTAAATGGCATTAACTACAGTAAATGAAATACAGCTCTAAGTGGGACAGCTTTTTTTTTTTTTAACTGTATTCCCCCACACTAAAAATGTGGTATGAACTGTGAAAGTGCTAGTAAAGGCACCAGACAGCTATGTCGGAAAACTGCCAATAATGAGAAGCACCTTTCCTCAAACTTCCCCTCTAAGCGTGTTTCAAGCCCAGTCACGTACACAACAGAGAGCTCAATGGTCTTTCCAGTTTAGTATGTCTTTGTTTTAATGTCATCCATTAAATGGCTGCTTTGTGCTCCTTGTTGTCTGTGACACAAACTGAGACAGGCGAGCAGTGACAGTACACCAGTGAAGTACACCACAGCCTCAGAAATACAGAAATTCCAAATGCCTCTGAGTAGGACACAACCGCCACGTTGCCATACTCATGGTACTAGCCTACTGGTTTGAGTCACCGGGCCTCTGCTCTCCCAGCTTTCAGGACAAACTGTCCACAGCACAACCTCTTTTGCTATGGAATAAAGGAGCAAAGAAAAATAAAATGAAAGCTGTTCTCACTTCCCTCTTACAGCCAAGTGATTCTCGTTTTGCAGCCCCCAGTGAAATACTGGAGAAGAGCAATACAGGCCAGCTGTGGGATCAGTGGCTCCTGGGGCACGGGAGGGGGGAGGGAAAAAAAAAGTCAGGACATCCCTCGGTGGCAGGGACCTGCAGGGCCGTCCAAGCACCTGGGACTTGAGGACTGTAACAAAATGAAGCAAAGCCTTCTTCTTCCCCTCTCTTACAACCAACTCTCTAAAGGCCCATGGACCCACTGCCCGGGAGTACAGCTGCACTTTGTACCTCATCTTTGGAGTACCTGTCAGAAAGAACTCAAGCGGTCACTACTGGTCCAGACTAGGAATTTGAGAAAACTTGTTACAGAAAAATCAAAGTTTGTTGGGGTTTTTTTGGCCCAAATATTTAAGCACTGCTGTTGTTAAATGAAATGAATCTAAATTTTAAACACAATTTGTCAAGAAGCTATGTATCAAGGAAACATTCTGCAAGTTCTGTAGCTGTTCTCATGTCAGCTCAGCACCATGTATCAAACTTTGTTTTAAACATGGGAATCCTGAAGCAGTGTGAACCTGCTTATCATTACTGTAAGTAACATCTTCAGATTTACATTCAGTCCCTACATACACCAATGTGGAAGACAATAAAGTATGTTAGTAATGTAAATTATTTGGAATGCAACATCAGTGTATCCAGAGATTTTAATTATTTGTGAATGCTGATGTGAATGAAAACAACACAAGCAAAAGCAGGTGTCATTTGAAAACAGTAATCAGTAGATTCGAAATAATCAATATTTCACTTTTTAGCAGAAGGTCACCAGTTTCAGTTTTAAGTAGAACATTTAAACAGGCTTTGGACTCTATATTAAAAAATATTTTTAAAAAGGGAACTTGTTTTTTTTCCCTTTTCATTATACAGATATGATTCTGCACCGGTAACAAACCCACATTCATTCATTCTGCTTCTTCAGAAAAGAGAGTTTAAATGTAATTTATTTTGTCCATAAATTTTTGTATCTTTTGAAAAGCTAATTTAATACAAAGAAGATGGTACCTTGAATTTCTGAGGGTGCTGGGACTCCATTTAAGTAATGGAAAAACAAAGCAGAACATCTCAGGAAAGGCATGATTCCAGCTTTTAGATTCCTCCACAGGTGCCAGCCTGAGGAAATTTCTTTCAAGGCACTTAAGAAAACACAATAAAAAAGTTTGCTTTTATTTAATAATTTCAGTCTGAGACCTATATTTAGTAAGTCTTCAGTTATACTTTATATTAAATTACTGACCTCAGTTGAAATAAGCATTATGCAAAGTGTTTATTTCAAAGTTAATTCTAAGAAAAACAACAAAATAGAGATTCATAAAATTTAACCAACTGGGACAGTAAATTAAGGAAAATTTTGCATAGACATTTCAGATCCTAACAAGCTTTCTGTACTCAGACATTGCCAATTCTAGATTCTACACATCTGCAAATTGACTAAAAAAAATGTTCCAGAGCATAATCTTCATGTGCAGGTATCTCCACGAGCGCAAACAGAGGAATTTATAGGAAGTTACTTGAAAATTGTATCTGGAAGTAGTAGGATAAGTAGAAGGATAAGAAATAAGGTGCAAGAGTTCCCAAGTTAAAAGTTTCATCTTTGGCAGTATTAGGATATGGAATTCAGTCAGTAATGTTGAGTCCAGGAGGGAGAAATACAAAATTTTATCAAAAGATTGCCTTTTTACCTTCCTGTACACTGGCAAAGAAATTTATACAGTGTAAGCACAGCTACTTCCTCCTCACTGTTAGTGTTTTCTTGATCCATACCATTCTCTTCTGAAGAAGAAATAAATAAAAAGCAAGTTACTTCATATACACCTATTTACATAGCAAGAATGTAATTTTTCAAGTTTTGAGAAAAAGGCCAAAACTAAGTGAAACATTCCACTGTACTACAATATGATGTACTGTAAAAAAGTTTTCTGCTGCACATCTTATGTGGTAAAGTTATGCTGTTGTCAGCTCCCATGAGGTGTTGGTTTACTTGTTTGACTAGTTGAGTTTCTTAACGTCCTTGCTTGGAGTTCTTTGCTTTTGGCTTACTACACCTTATGTAGTTCCTCTTGCCAGAAGATACACTGATTCTTTACTTTGCTAACTGCAACTTATTAATCATGCAATGCCTAAGCCAAGTCTCTGCAATAAACACTTCCCAGACACTGCTACATTAGCTGGAAAGCTAGGATTCATGACTAGCTGTGCTCCAGTGTTAAGGAATAAAGACAAAAGACTGAACTTTCACGAGTACAATTTACCAATACTTTCTGTGGGCTGAAAGAGAGAGCACCAGCAATTTTATTTTGCCACTGTAAACTGCATACATTCACCAACAGCACCTTAAGTGTTCTCCAAGTACAGACTTAAGAATCATTTCAATAAAAGTTGAAAGAAAGTGGCATTACCTGTTGATGAGGTAAGTAAAATTTGTACTATGTGTGCCATGGTGACAAGATGAAACAGGTGAAGATCTCCAGTGCCAAGACTAACCCCTGAAAAATCCTGACAATGTATGGCAGGGGAAGAGAGCACCAAGCTTACCTGTAAAACAAAACAAGAAAGCTGGTATATTCCTTATACTTTTCAATCTTCCCATTTTCTCTGCTCATGCTGCAACTATACTCCTCTAAAGGCAGTATCCCTTGTAAGACTAATTTTGAAGCTAATTAGCCAGCCATTTTTTTAAGGGAACCATGGTTATCAGGGTTTTTTGTTTGTTTGGGAGAGGGGGTCTGCTATTTTTGTTTGTGGTTAGTTGGGAGGGTTTGGTTTTGGTGGGGGGTTTTTTTGGTATTGTTTTGGGTTTTTTCAGCATCCAAAGAATATACCTTCCACCTCATTTTACTTCTTTTTTATTTATAGGTGAGAATACTTGCAACAAAAAAGTCTTTAAATTGTATTAAGTAGCGAAAAAATAGAAAAAACCTGAATGTTTGGAAGGTTCCTAACCAAGAGTAAAGAAAAAGTTTCCACTAAAGTTTTGAGACAGTGCCTACTGGATCAAAACATTATTAATATATATTATGAAATACTTACCAATAAATGAAACATGTCAATATCAAGTATGCAAGGAAGATTTCCATTTTTTTCATTAGGCACCAATGCTGAGTATTTTAGAAAGAAAAACAAATTTATTAATTGGATATTTATATATTAAAATATTTTAGTGTACTTGAGTTACAAAATGAGAGCCATTTTCTTGGTTTATATACTTAAAGTTCTTAAAATACAAAAGCACCTGTTTTGGCCAGAAAGGTGTGAATTCAAGAGCTGATGAACATTATTGGAAAAGACTCTTGCCTATTTAACCACACTGTATTGAAACGGAACAAACTCAAAGTAACTATAACTTTAATAGTTATAAAGTTAGTGCTGCCATTCACTGCCCCCATAGTGACTTTCTTTCATTGCCTAGGTCTCCAGTGTGAGACAAAACGTGCCTCAAGCTCTGATCCCGAAATAAGCGCAAACACTAGTGACTAAGCAGAAGCACCAATTGCTGTCTGTTGAACAGCTTTTCAGAGGAAACTTCTGCCATTTGCTTAGCTTTACAAGATTCCCTAAATTTGCCTCACATAACTTATTTGCCTTACGGACTCAAAAATGCACTGCTAAAGAGTTTCTTAAATTCATTATTTTATCTCTAATTAAGAAAGAGCTAGGTACTGGTCTCTGTGGTATTAACCTTCACAGTAACCACAAAGTATTAACCAAAGCTCTCCAGTTGACAACAGGAATTCACACACTTAATAAATTCCAAGTAATGCCATAAACTCCATCTAAAAGCAAACATAAATAACGAGACTTGAAAATGTTGCAATGTATTTAAAATAACAATCAAGGAAGAGTTGTGAACTTCTTCAAGCACTAAAATCTGATTTACAATAAGAGTTTGAACTGTAACTATGACAATAGTTTTATAATGTGGCTATAAGCATTAAGCAGGTAAGTTTAAAAATACTACTAGAGTAAAAAACAGTCTAATTGTAATAACTTTAAAATACTTCTGTTGAAGACTGTTGCCAGAAAACTGCCAGCTGGAGAGCTGTGACATTTTGAAGCTATTTCTTTTAGCAAACACTTCACCATCACTCAGATTTCAAATGCTTTTACTTTTGTAAGCATATAGCCACATATCAAAAATGTGACCAGAGCAAGGGCCTTCCAACACCAAACTTTTATTAGATGTTATCTTTATGCATAAATAGTTCACAGAATACTGACATATTAATAATTTTCCTTATTCCTAGCCTTGAAAAATAAAATAAAATAACAAACACTTTTCCTTCCTAAAAGTAAAAGCAGTACAGTTGCTTCTGTCAGCTGGAGGGAAGAAGAGCTTTGAAGAAACATTGATTCAAGTTTTCAAGAAAACCCAAACCATGCAGAACACCGTATACTACAAAGTTCCGGTCAAGTACCTAGCAACATTTTCTCTTCTGCTTCACACAGAAAATTGCTCAATCGTTACTGCTACAAACTTTCCCCTAAAGCTGCCAACTTTTTGCTGAAGTACATAGTATTAATTGTACTAGTAATTTCAGTATATAAATGCATTTTAAAAGTTTTCCTGCTCTACTGACTGTAAGTATTACAATTATCCCATTTTATAATACCCTTTCAGAATAGTCCTCTCATAGGTAATTACTGCATCATGCTGAACTTCAGACTTCTCACTTGTATCTACAAATGCTTCAAACTTGGAACATTTTGGCTGTTCTCATTAAAACTCTCAACTAATATATGACATTACATAGTAAGTCCTGTCTTATCACAGATCCTACTTTTCAAAGGCACAGAAGTTTGCAGATATATTACAAACCTCTGCAAATACTCTATTTCCTTTCAATACAATATAAATCTTAATTTTCTCCTTTTTGAAGTTCCAGCGTACCACTTTTCTTTTGTGAAAGACCACGCTTCCTTCTCCTTTGCTCTGGGTACCTTTGTAAAAGCAGGAATATAAATGCTGGGAAGAATCAACAGAACTCCACAGCAAAATACTCATGCTTCTCTTGGAACTGCAGACCAAAAGAAATGGGTTTTTTTCCACAGTATGATGAAATATGTATAGGGACACACGTGAAAATACTAGCTCTTGGTCTACTACTAAAACAATCTTCTAACCAAGACCAACAACCAGTCTGTAAGCATCTTTCTGTATCTGCATCTCTGTAAAAAACAGAATAAGGTGGTGGACTTACATGCTAAGAGAGTACAAAAGTGACCCTGTACTGCCGAAAGAGATGAAACTGTCCAGTGAGCTGCTGCAAATCTTGTTAATGATGTAAGGCAGTCATCCTTTAAAAACAAAGAAAAAGAGACGCTGTCACAGTTAAAGTTCCTCAATATTAAAAGATCTTTTGACTTAAACAATTATTTTCAGGCTGCTCAGCTGCAGCTTATGGGAATAGTTGGAGTGCCTAAGTATATGACAAAGATATTTATGTTTATGCAATACACAAGTTCCTTTCTGTATTCTTATTTTGGCTGTTACCATAAGAAACCCTGGCCTTACTAAACTATGCATTTATAGAAAAAAAAAGGTTTTGCTAGATTGGATTTTTACATAGATTAATACTCAGATATTGATTGACTAAACAGTACAATACAACAAATAAAGCTATCAAATAACCATAACTTAAAATCTTAAAATTTAGATATTCTGCATTAAAGAAGCACAATTTCCTATTTTTCCACTGATTCAGAGAGGAATTGCTACTTGATCCTTACCTGTCGACAAGGTAAATGACCAAATAAAGGTTTATCTTCATCAGCTAAAATTCGTTCTGGAAAAAAAACAAAACCCCAAAATATTTCAAGGCTGTGAATTTTAATAAATTCTGAAATTCATAGATAAAGGAACAAAATTAATCCATTAGTACCTATACTCTGTATTGTGTAAGCACAGCTTCCCCAGCACATTATAGGTACACGTGGATCATCTTCATTCGGATGAACCTTTAAGCCCACTTTGTACGTTGCTGTACCAAAAGTTGTCAACATCTCCTTTATGCTCTCAGAATAAGGATTCCTGGAACAAAGAAAACAATATTACTAATTCATTTTCTTCTCCACTGGCAGCTTAGTACTTTTAATGATAAGCATTCACCCCACAGCTGAACACCTGGATTTTCAAAATTTAAGCGAGAACTCCAGTATCTTTCTCTGGATCTGGTATCCTGCAAACTCTTTTCTGTGCCAGATATGCTCCCAGTTATTTTTTTATTATTTCATGGGAACCAATCTCATTTTTCAGAGTGAAAAATATCCAGTCTTCAAAGATAATATAGTTATGACTAAATTAAAAGAATTGTGTGTGACCAATGGCAAAATCAGTCATCAGCTGCAACAGATGTCTTGCATTTTTGTGTGCAGTTGGCAGATAAATGTCTGTACCATGTAATGAATTTCACTACTTTCTCCCCAAGTGAAGAATGGGTAGACTCAGATACAAACATACCATAGTAGCTGAAATTACGTATTAACATACTCTCCATTTCATAGTCTTTCTTGATGTTTTACTTGTAGTGCTAAGCTATAATGATGAGTCCTTCATCCAGTTACAAGTAATATAGAAAGAAAGCTTAATCCTGGGTTTGAAATTTATACAACAGCAGCATCATCTCTTCACATCCATGCATCCCATCCACCTCTGAAATTCTACTGCATTATTTACTGCTTGTGGATTGGACTTCAATACCATCATAATAATAGGATCAACTTTATTAATTAAGGGAAAATTAATATTTTTGCCTTAATTAGTGAGACCTTATAGCATAGAAGTCACATTCTATTTTCATGTTAGCGTTTCATGATGAAGCTTTAATGATTTATTAAGACGTACTTCGGTTTGAAAGCTGGTCTAAATCCTTCAGGTAGTTGCAGCTGATCCATTTTTTCTGAATTACCAGAACTGCCTGTACAAACAAGAAGTAATAAAACAACTATTATTCACCTATACATTATGTTTATGTTATAAAATGGTGCAGGAACACAGCACCAGAAACTGAAATTCCAAGCTACCCTTGCCACTTCTGACACCATCTCTCAACTCCACTGTGGCAGAACCATAATAATTGGTCTTTTTCATGAACTGGGATTATTTAGTCTGGAGAAGAGGCTGAGGGGAGACTTTATTGCTCTCTACAACTACCTGAAAGGAGATTGCAATGACGTGGGTGTCAGTCTCTTCTCCCAAGTAACAAGGTGAGAGGAAACAGCCTCAAGTGGTGCCAGGGGATCTTTAGAGTGGATATTACGAAAAATTTCTTCACCAAAAGAGTTGTCAAGCATTGGAACAGGCTGTCCAGGGAAGTGGTGGAGGCACCATCCCTGGAGGTATTTAAAAGACGTGTAGATGTGGTGCTTAAGGACATGGTTTAGTGGTGGATTTGGTAGCGTTAGTTTTACAGTTGGCCTTGATAATCTTAAAGGTCTTTTCCAACATAAATGATTCTATGATTTTTACACACAAATACACATATTTCTTCAGACTTACTTGCACAGTCTTCATCTCGAAGTAAATACAGCGCTTTTATTTGCTGGGATATTGTTTTGATCCACTGAGTTAGGTTTGGTTGGCCTGAAATGTCTAACCTGTCCACAATTATATATAAACAGAATATGCACATTAGTTCAGAACAAACTATATATAGAATTAGTATTTCATAGGCATTCAATGTCCTTCTGTTTCTCAACAGGCTCTTTCTCTGTTGCCCACATATTTTTCTATATTCAGCTCTTTTCCTGCAGGTCCTACGCTTCACTCTTCTTTCACACTCTAAATTCCATACTATACAATAATTAAGGAAGATCCATCAACCAAAATAAAGAGGTAGGTAATCCATTTAAGATTATCAAAACAGAAGATAATAAACATTTTGAAAGGAGTTTTTGGGGTGTGCCTTGTTTGGCATGTTGGTTTTTACAGTTAGAGAGGACATTTATAAAGCAAACAGACCTGTTAAACAAAACCCTTGGTGGAGGAAGCAGAGGAATAACAGTGTTGCTTAAGCATTCACAAAGTGGGCAAAGGAATTCACCGTTTTCTACATCGTAACTTGTGTGTACTCGTAATCTTTGTTGTCTTCGTTGCTCTTTCGCTTGGACAGCATCAAAGTACCTTTCGAAAAGAGCAAGATATTGGAAGCAAATTATTAAAAGGTTACTTTAAAATATAAATTAATGAAATCTTATGAAGACATTGTTTTACCTTTTCCCAGATATACATAAGAGAATTATCTGAAGGAAAAAGCTCTACCCTCTGACTGATAATGTATTGCTAACTGCAGGCTATCCCCAGTTTTTGGCAGCTAAAACTCCACAAAGTGCTGAACTTCATCAGACTGTTAAAATCACATTTAAATCTGAACTTCAGCAATTGCCATTTAGGAAAAAAAGGGTGAGGGAGACAGGAAGAATGTTGAAGGACTGGAAAAAAAAATAATTCTTAAGTTTCACATAAAATTTTAAGGGAGACACCATGAGCATTATCCATGTGCTTATTCCATTACAGGCCACAACAGAGTAGCAAGGGGAAAAACTGGTGGCTGATCTCCGAATCTTATATGAAAAGGAACTGAATTCACTGCTTTGATAAACATAACCCTCTTCCAGAAACCTCTGGAATGGTTTAGAGCATGCCTGACAATGACCCAAAAATGTTCTGAACACAGGCATCTAAGGACATTTCCAGGAGTTAATAGCAACCACACAGCACTGTACATGAGTTATGCAAGAAGACAAAGAAGACACCTTCGGTGAGCAGTGATATCAAAGACGAGAAATGAAACCTGTGCATGGATATGGCCACAGAATCTCTAGGAGCTCCTAACAGTCTTCCACACAAGGCAGAATTTGAAACCAGGCACTTCAGGAGCCTTGCCAGGAACCAAAGCAAGGACCTAATCAAAGTCAGAGGCCTGAATGGTTTGGATTTGCCACATGACTTTGGCACCACATAACACTAAGGAGGTTTATCCCCCTCCAAAAATCAAAGAATAAAAATAATTGAAAAACATTTTATTTAAAAAATAATCTAAGAACAAAGGATAAAACTGAGTTTATGTTGAAGATAAGCTTGAACTAGGTCACAGATGTTTCTAGTTCAAACTAAACTTAATGGAGCAATTAAGAGTGCCAGGGATGCTCTGTCATTCAAAACTTCAGTAGAGAGCACAAGAAGCAGCAAGAATATGCCTATTACTGAACTGCAAAAAAACCCCCAAAAATCTGAGCTTCAGTGTTTAGATACATGTGCCCCACAGAGGATTATGCATGGGGATAAACAATCAAAGGGAACGAAGGCTATCATGTGTGGCTTTGGATTCTTCTTTATCAAGATGACAGATAGTAAACGAAAATTATTTTGAATACTTTTACAGTATTTATTATAATGATTTCTACTTCTCTTCCCCCCCACAACAGAATTCTGCTTTCATTGCTTCATGATATTAATTTTTAAGTTTACTACATAGTATTTGTTTTGCCATTGAAATTAGTGCCATTAGGCAAACTGATGACATGACATGCTATTTAGACTAAAAACTTAAATACAGCGTTTTACCTTTGCCAACAATGAGCGTGCATGATATGTCCACAGCTACCCGTGTGTGTTCCACATGACAGATCTGGGTGCATGAATAATGGGTCATACTTTTCTGTATTTAAAATAAAACAAAACAACTTTGAAATAAACATTTATCAAAAGACTTTAACGCTGATAAAATTTTACCGCTTTTGCATTATTATTAATTTTTATCACAAAAGTATAATTTGTTTGATGAAGCATAAAACTTATTCCTAATTCACAACAACTTAAACTGTTCAGGTCATTTACAAATATTGTGTAATTCTGTTTTGAATGGATGTACTGTACATAAACTTTAAACCAAGCTTTTGGAGGTGCTTGGCCCTCGTAAAAGTCACCAAGATCTACCCGCAGCTTTGGTGGTTTAATACCACTAAACAATGAGTTTAAGAACATTAATCTTCAGAGTGAGAGTGCAAAATGATTCAGTGCCTAAGTTTAATATGTGTATACATATATAGAATTGAAAGGAACCTTTGTAACAATGCCATGGATAAAGAAGTGACCTGTTTCATAAAGTTACCTAAATCCAAGCATTTTTTATTATTATCTCTAAGAGGCATTTCAGATTATACAACCGAGAGGAAGGGACAGCAACACCTCCTGTAACGATAACATCACAGGTGTAGTTTAAAAACAAACACTTCTAATTTTCAAGGGTTTTTTTTAGTAGTTACAAATAATTTGTCATAAATGGCTGTCAGAATATTTAGATAATGCTTTGTGGTGATTTTACATTGTTATTTAGAAAACACATTTCTACCTCACTAAAAATACGTGAGTTTTGCCACTGATTGCAATGAAGTCATTAACAATTATAAAGTTAACACAAGAAAGTGATGCTATTTCTCAAACCACACGCGGCTGTTACAGCGACATGCATATCCATTAATATTAGAGACAACTATGAATACTACTTACCAGGGTCTGGAATAATTTTGTTTCTATTTTTAGACAACACAGTTGATCGCTGAATAAATGCTGCCAAGACCATAGCTCTGCTGTCCACTTTAACTTCTTGTTCCTCCTGACACAAAATACACATAACAACCTGTCTGTGTTCAGCTACTCTAGTTTGCTCTGGTCCCAAGGCTATGAGTTTTGCATCTGAAATTACAGGGCTAGAAAATTCAAAGAATACTAATAAGCAAATTGTTTTAAAAACATTGTAATCAGATTGTTATTTAAATGTGATTAATGAGCTTTCTAGCTTTATGATAAATGCTCTCTGACAACAATATTTATGTCCCCAGAAATAGTTATGCAAGACTGTATTTTCCAGAAAAAAATTAATACCCTCCCAATAGTATTACCTATTCCAACTTAATATAAAAACTGTATCTGTAACCCTCCGTTATCACCATCCCTTAAATGCCTGACATAAATTCTGAAAACACCCTCCTCTTCCCAACAAATCATTAGTATGCTTCAACTCGTATTTCCAGCTACAAGCAGATTTTCTTCCAGATCCTCAGACATAATCAGCTATTTCCAATTGACAATGCTTAATAGCATAGCCTCTTCAGTATTATTAATAATTTACTAGACAATTTTACACAAAACAATTTCTTGCTTTCTTAAGCTGATCACTATGAGGGAGGAACCAATATTTATCTCACCATACTGACAGTAATGGGGAGGAAAGCATTCCATTTACTGCTGCTTTTTTGGTCTCAAAAACTTTTGAATAGTTTTCTACCAAGACTTAAAAAAGGGCTTTTTTAAGTAGTAACAATAGGACAATCTGACGTAAAACTTAAAGGAAAAAAAAATTAAATTAGATTCTTTTACCTGTTTTCATGTACTCCAGAAGTTGAAGTATCAAGCTCCTCCAAAGTCTGCTGAAAGAGTTCTTTGTTTTCATTAATGAAATGCCGTTGCATCTCAGACATCTGGGCCATGATTTTTTCCCTGCGCAGTCTGGCAATCTCAGCTTTCCGCTTCCTTTCAGCTTTGTCTTTATCACGTGAACTCTAAAATTGTATTGTTCATTCAGTCATTTTTAAAATCTTGTTGCAACAGACAAATTTATTTTAGCTACTTCTGCGTGTAACTTGTCCTAACCTCTGAACATACCAAAAAGTTACTTTGCACCCCCTTTTCTTTAGCTCATGTTCAATGTTCCGCAGAACTGCAGATCCAGAAGGATACCTCTCCTCCTCAACCTTTAAGTGTATTTTGTATTTCTCTTCCCTTTGAGCATTCATAAGATAAAAAGGTAAGTGACAGGCCTCTAGTGCTGCTCTTCCTCCATACTAGCTGTATTCCTAAAAGCATTACAGTGCTCCAAGGTCTTTGTGTAGTATCTAGAATGCTATGTCAAGCTAAACCAATCAGCAGGTCTTATCTGGAATGACCTGCATGGTAAAAAATAAATAGATACCATTACTTTTAACAACTTTCCAGAGAGTCTGAAATTATGTGAAGAGCAGAACCAATAAATGCTGGGATCAGTACTACAAACAGTTTTAAGCAGTAAACTTGCAAAAGATTTGAAGACTACAATAAAGCAAAGAAAAACAGTCCAGGGACGCTCCCCAGAGGTCTTTCAAACAAACATGTTTGATCTATAAGATGTGTTTCAGAAATCACTGATGTTTCCCATCTTTGATCTAGAGCTGCAATTAGAAATATAGTCCTTTGCTAGTCACAACCCAGACCTGTCCCAAATCAACTAGCTGTTACAGCTTACTTTTACCTCCTCCATAATATTTCCTTCTGTCTCAGCCACAGGACTTGCCGAAGAGCTTTCTCTTAGTTTCTTAATAGTATTAAAAGTCTGTAAGAAAAAAAAAAAAAAACAACACTTCATTTGTTTGTGACATGTGAATATAACTGTGTATACTATAATGCTGGCCAGATAACGTGCAGTGTTTGATTCCAGAAGAGGAAAAAAGTAGAAAAATCACCACAATATAATTAGGAAAGTTTCAAAAATCCTCATTCTATGATTTTCAGTGGTTATATAAAACTTTTACCTTCAATATCCATCTGATCATGTCCTTGTGCACTTCCAGATGAGGTGCGTTTTGCAGTGTTTCTAGCATAGCTAGTATACTAGGGGAATTATTGGGTGCTTCTCCTGGTCCTGAGAAAAAAATGGAACAACAATTGATTATACTGTTACCTGACAAACTAATTATTCACTACCATTAAAAACAATAAAACCCAAAAACCAACACTTGTATATGTTCAGCAGCTGAAGAATTCCTTCAACAAATAGGCACAATATGTAACTTTCTTCCCCCCCCCCAGCATTTTTATGAATACCCGCTATATCCTGAAAAGTTAGAGGGAATAGTCCTAAAAGTCTCGCTCACTGACTATTTTCTTACAAGACAAATGCACTGTATGTGCTCCCTGAATGTTTTCACACTGGGAGCTGACATGTAAAGCTTCCAATATTTTATTTCCCATCCATTTTAAATGGAAGAATCTTAGCAATTTTCATGTCTTAGCAAAATTAGAGGTACTCGTCAGAAGATGCAAAGGAGAGTCAAGATTAAAAGATCATTTAAGAACACAACTACAGTTTTTGCAATTGTAGCATCAGATCATGTACAGGAATCTTTGTTGAGACACTACTTAAAGACATTAAGAATCAGATTCACTGGCAATTATTCTACTTCTGGATTTCTTCTCTAGAAAAGGCCGTTAGTATTGCTACAATCATAGAATCTAGACATACATAAAGCACATATCTATAGTAAAGTTGCTAAAATTTTGATGAATAAACAAATACACTCTTCTGGTAAATAATGTTTCAGAAGATTAAAACATGAGATACTGGCATTTTCAGTTATTTAAAATTTGCTATACATTTAAAAAGAAAGGCATACTTGATATTTTCTGAGTGAAGGAAAATGTTACAACATTCTCCTCACTGAGATTCTCCAGATGTTGTTTTTCTTCTTGTAGTGCCATTCCAAGCAAATGCAAAACCTAGGTAAAAATTATCAATTTTAGTTCTTTTCTTAAACAATTAATATAATCTCTTTTTATATTGTGGGTAATTCATTAAGAGACAATGAAGTCATACAATAAAATTATATAAAAATAATATACTTTAAGTTATTTCTATATATGTAATTCCAAAGCTACATTACATAAAAAGAGTTTGTTGGCAAATTCTTGACACTTTGACAGATAGAAGCCACATTATACCACTTGTATCCTTCTGTTTGCTGTCCTGTCTACTGAGTGAGAAGTCAGTGCTTCTTAGCTTTCACCCTAGAAACTGCATGTTACTATCGCAACCTTCTGGACAAGCTTTAAATCCTTTTTACACACAAAATTTAACTGACAAAAAGTTAAAATTATTAAACTAAATTTATTCTAACACTCTGGAAATGTGTATTTTAAAATAATGTTAACCTAGGTCAGTAAGAAGCTGTAATCTCCTTGAACTTAAAAACTGAAATTATCCTATTTGATACTAAAATAGTCTGAATGGCATTTTAAAGCTGAAATACTTAAATCTTGGTGGTGAACTCTTGTCATGCTGAATCAACCATTTCTGCCACCCCATACAAACTGCCAAGATGCTCTGGACAAAAAGTGTCACTGAATCAACACCGAAATCCGTGTAAAGAAAGGATAATCACTAGAAAATCTGTAGCAGAACTGGAATGCAACAGTCTAAGATAACTAAAGTATCTACAGAAAAAGTCATAAAACCTGATTTGAGTCTTGAAGGGTTTTTTTAATTTGTTTAATAAGTAACAGTCAATTTTTCCTCAGTCTATCACATCTATCTATCAAGGTCTTATCAGATATGGGCCACCTCTTCCAGATGTTCTACATTAACTTTTGCATGGTGCTTCCAAGATGAGAGTGGTTGACTTAGGAAAGATGCAGTTCAACTGCATGGCACCAGTGAATACAAAGCACTGTTTCGGAGCATATGATAAGTCCCTAATGAGTCACACATTTTGGAGAACACCACAGGGTATTCAAATGGCTGAGCATGTTTTAGTTCCATTTCAAAAAAATAAAAAGAAAACCTTACTCTAGTCAAATATTTATTCCAAAGCCTAGCATTATCACATTACTTAAATGTAACTACATTCTTCAATTTTTGTTGTGATATATAATACTGATATATTGTTCCATTTGCAACTTTTTTTGTTATACAGAATTGCTTATGTTCATTTAAACAGCTATAAAAGGTAATATACACTCAATAAGACTGAATGTAAAACAATTAATACTCAGTTTGAGAGCTGGGGTTTTATTTCAAAATGTTATTTAAAAATACATCAATATTTTTGAAAAGTTTGGATTTGGAAGCTAAACCAACAACCTTGGCCAATACAAACAGCCCTTTGATGGCAGTTCACTACTTACCTTTACACACCCCAGAATATGACTATCATGGACACCAAAATCTACAGTAACCCTCTAGGTTCCAAAGATCATTATAAATAGTGAGGAACAAACAGCTCAGCTGCATTTCCCCAAACTGATATATTTTAAAGTTAGAAAATTCTTTTCTATACTTTAATTATGTTTTCTGAAGTGATTTAGCCTAAACTGAAAATAAGTAAAGGAATGTCAAGAAGTCGTCGATGTGCTTTACTTAATATGCAACAACTCAGATAAACTAATTCTCTACCACAATAAACACAATTTCAGCTGATTCAAGCAGAATTATTCCCTCTTGCGGGTAACCCATTGGAAACTCACCTCTGTCTTCCATTCACTTTTAAAATTAAATTGCATCAGAAGCAGAGGGTTTTCCCTAGTCTTGTATATCAGAAAAAAACATTTCTCATTCAGAGTACTCTGGATATGTTAGATAACAAGTTGAACACCCCAAATCTATAAACTGATGTTAAGATGGTAAAATACATACTCCTTCCTTTAGCACAGCCATAACTTTAAATAAGGAAACATACCCTTTGCAGCATGGACTCTGACCAGGCATAGCCATTGTGTTCTACTGCCCACTGCAGTATAGTTCCCATAATGCACAGCATGACATCAGATTGCAGAATATTAACCAGACTTGCAAAAAGAGGGCAGAAAGGAGGAAGAGCGGGTGGTGGAAGTGCTGAAAGGGAAATTTGTACGTTTGACATTTCAGCATCTCTAAAATTTGCAACACACATGTATGTCTGACTTTTCAAACAGCTTATCAGCTTAACCTAAGTCAGTACACAGTTGCTTGATAAACAGTATTACAGATAACAGGCTGTAACACTCAACATGGCTTGCATGTAACAGAAAAGCCAAAGGAATAAGCTGTTCAGAAGGCTGCTTGCACAACAGATCAGATTCTTGTCTATAATCAGGGAGACATGAGGAAAACTGCTATATTTTCACCAATTTCTGGCTAGCCTAAGAAAACGATGTTAGTCTAAGTGTCAGGGCAATACACAGTTTGATAGGTGCTTCCCTCTTCTCCCATCTTCTCTCACAGAGAAATACCTGTATCTTCTCTGTTCTGCCTTTTCAGCTTTCTTTGTGCTTCCTCTGCCTGAAATAAAAGAATGATGCCAATATTACTCAAAACCTGTACAAATATAAAATTAATAAAAAAGCATTCACACTTTGTGACATTGTTACTGTTTTTTTCCCCTTTTCCCAGTCTTCAATAAAATATGAAAGCTTCCATGTCTTTTCAGTTTGTCTTACATTCTACTTGTAAAGTAGGGCCTGCACCTTCAAAATTAATCTTTCATCCTTAACCAGACTGGATTCTTTTTCTAGCATAAAGTTGTAATAAAAGTCTGACCTGAAATGGTAATTTCCATAAAGGTAAGTGAAAATACAGATTGCTTAAATACTTTCAGTAAAATAAGACCTAAAAGAATCCACAGACAATCTCCTGAAGCCCCACTGATTTCAGCAGCTCTGATTAGGGCACAGGATCTGAAGGCACAGAAAGCACTGCAAAATCTTGGGCAAATTTTGTCAACATTCTCAAATTAAAAGTTAACTTCTAAAAGTTAACTTTTAATCAGGTGATAATGCTTCTTCACAGAATAAAGCTCTGGAAAAAAGCAAACCAAAAAAGACACAAAATAAAACCCAGAAAGTTAAATTACTAGGTACCTTTGATTGCTCTGCCCTTGAAAAGTGATAGAAATACAGATTGAAGTTCCTGGCACATTCTGGTTTTAGTTCATAGAGCCCTCTGCCTGTTAATCCAGGTTTCCTACAAAAAACCAAAAACAAAACCCCAAAAATAAAACAAACCAAAACCACTTATGTTCATTGGTTATTAACATCTGAGCATAAAAGGTTAACTAGAACAGGTGAAAACCACTGCTCAACAGGCATTCTAGAGATCAAGTAACAGTATTAAGAATGATGCACAAGGAAAGCCATGGGGAAAACCCAGCCCCGCTTCTTCTATTCTCTTATTTTCACTAATTTAGATATTCCATTTTTAAAGCTGAAATATTAGAATAAAGGGAAACATACTTGAAACACGCCACTTCTTCAATCACACTTTCCATTCCAGTCTCTTTGTTCTCCTACATTGAGTGAAAAGGCAACACAGTATGTTACTGTAGTTCTTGGATTAAACGTATTTAAATATCATACAACACTGGATAAGCATGCAAAACAAATGTAGGACAAAATCATTTTAATGGCACTCAACAGAACACTAGAGCATGTAACATGAAAATATATTCAGGAATATAATCTCTGCAAAAAGTATTTTTAAAAAAATCATGCCATTTTAAGTGCTTAATTTTTACTGTTTTTCCCTGCCATAATAAACTTGGATGTAACAGTAGCAGAAGAAAACTCTAACTTAGCTTTCTCAACATATCTTAAGAATATACAAATCAGTATTTCTGGTTTCTAGGCCTTTAAAATGAAATAAATATAGGAAAGACAAAAAGACAAGTCACTGAAGTACAGTAAAACAACTACAAAAGGCAGCAGAGAAAATCAGCTCAAATATGTAACACTACTTCATACACAAACTACTTTTTCACATTCCCATCCCCTTCCTGTAATACATATTCACAGCAGTTAACAGGCCAGGGAAAAATTATTTAAGATTGATAATACAATTTAGAACTCTAACTTAAATCCTAGTTTGCTCTTCCATGCAACTCTAAAATATTTTTTTAAAAAAACATAATACTACCCTGAAATTTGACTTTTCAAATTGTTTAACTTGAAACTATTTAGGACAATGAAAAAATATTTCTGACTTTATAATTAAAAATACTATCAATATAGTAAAAGATTAACTTTTGAATTTTGACTGCCTTCAGAAATCATTTAAAAGATCACTTCAAAAATACTCAGAAAACCCCAAAATAAAACCAAACAAAAAAGATTAAGCTTTGGTATTCCAAAAAACCACTCATATCAGAATTCAGATAAACGCTTCTGTCCATGCAAATAAAGCATTTATGTTACACAAGTCATTATACTGTGACTGATTCCAGGTCTCTTCAATTCTTGTTAGGCTTTAAAATATAACAGTTTATATTTCTGGATAGCTCTAACAACCCACTTTACGTGTTATTCAGAGTTTACAAGCAGACTGCAGAAACTGCCGGCCAGATGGCCTGGTAAGAAACAGCATTAAAAAGAAAAAAAGAGTCAAAGAAGCTCCCAGGCTCCTGCCTCTTTCATATGTTGCTGATTCTTCTACAGCTCTTTCCTACCTTCTCCATGACAACTATTAATCTGTACTTAGGCTATCCTTATTCTTAGCATAATCATGCTGTTCCCATTCCACATTAAATGGTATAAACTTGAGCAAGAAAAATTTTCAGCAATCAGCCTTATAACGTTGAACTCATTTGTTTGTTTTTTTTTTTTCCCTCCCCTCCTAAGTTACTTACATCTTCAGGTAATGCCTTTACCAATTCACTGTGAGCCATTGGCCTGATGCTCAGCTGATGAATGATTTCTCGTTTGATTTCATCTGTTGCATTTACCTGTCCTATTCCAGGACTGAATCTTTCGCCTGTAAAAATAAAGTGTAAGTAACTTTTTTTTTGTTTTAATTTTACATATTTATTTATCTTCTTTTGCAACTTAAAGCAAAAGACTGAAAAATAAAGTCTCTTCTGTGAAATCTTGTGTTCACCCACCAGTGTTCAAAAATTTGTTACATTAATCCAAGCTAGTTTCAAGGCTTTTCTCCTGGGAAAGAAGTCAGAACTATAGGAAGTTCAAAACAGAATTTAACTCGACACGACAATGAAGAATGCTCATTACAGACCATTAAGGAGACTAAATTTTAAAAATTAATTAAATGTATTCTGAACTTACCAACAATCATTATAATGAGGTATAGCATCTCTTCAATAAGAGTGTTATTTTGTTGAACAACATCCTGAATTAAAATAAACAAAAAAATGATTTTACATTTTTCAATTAAGAGTAAAAAAAAAAAAACCAAAACCCAAACATTGCTTGTTTTCACCCTTAGCACTCCCAAAATAAACTATGCTGAAATGCCATCATAACTGCCTTAAACTTCTTAAACAATGCAAAAATTATGCAGCAGTTTTTGACATTTACCAGTTTGACAGGTAAAAATATTTATGCATATTTCAAACTAAATTAAAATAGGATAGGTTTTGCTTTTTCATCAAAAAATTGCACAGTCTTGGTAAACAGCATCTGATACACTTTTGAAAACAAAATTACGTATTTTCTATTGCAGTAGTACATAAAATACCTTGTTAGTATTTTCTGTGCTAAATCTTTTGCCATAGTCCGGAGTACTAAATATCTGATAAAGTTCAAAGCGACTCAGCATTATCATCAAGAAGTGATTTGGATCCATCATAGACACACCTGTCTGTTAAAGAAAGCAATTATTATAAACAGAAAATAGATTGTTATTATAGCATGTTTGTATATTTATATACAATGTTCATAGTATATTCTTTATAAAAATAACTCCCCTCTATCATAGGTATTAAGATCTAATTACTGAAGTTTACTCTCTTAGGACTCCAATAACACAAGTGACAGCACGTTTGACAAGCAGGATCCTATGCTTTATCAATAATTTCTGATGCCCTTTTAAGTGTAAAGTATTCAGGATTATTTCTTCTATCTCAAGTACTCTAAATAAAATTCAGTTAAAGACTTTTGGTTGGTTGGTTTTGTCTCTACAATCCTGTTCCTGCTGGCTGAACTTTTAGAAGGCACAATATCACTTAGTATATAGCACAAAAACATTAAAAACAAATTTCTATCCTCAAACTAAAGGTTGAAGACTTTTACAAGACTTCAAACCTTCCTGGAAAGAATACTAATATTTCAATGTAGCCACAAACATTTACTTCCATCTCTGAAAACTACTGGATAAAGTTTTTTATGTTTATTAAACAATTTATCTAAATTAGTCAATTATAAACATTTGTTGTTAGTTTACAGCTGCTAATGGGACCATCTTTACATCACAATTTCCAACAAAACTGAAGGATATCTACCCAAAACGGCAGCTGCAAATGATTACTAAAAATTAAGGTCAGATCAAGTCTCAAGGAAGTATGTCTGAAAGCAGAAATAACTCAGGATACATGCATCATATTGGGTACTGCTAACTCTAGGTAAGATTTGAGGGACTTCCCGAGAAAAAGGTTTCGCTGTCTAGGTGAACTGCACCCCCTCGAGCTGCAAATTTTAACTTTTGTCACTCTCAATGTAGAAGAAATACATCAGACCTCTCTGAGTCAGAGCTATTTAGACTGCTAGATTTGTAAAATCTAAATAATAATAATAATAATAATAATAATAATAATAATAATAATAATAATAATAATAATAATAATAATAATATCACAAACTACTATATGAGGTTCCACTTTCTACCCAGCATTTTAGATGCCAACTTTGAAGGGATACAATACAATGTGCAATACATACATCAAATACATTACTGAAGATCAACAGACTCACAAAACTGTCAGTACAGCACAATCCATTAGTTAAAATACTACATTCTTGAAGATGTAGCATTACATCCACATTACACAGAAGATTCTGCACTTTCCACAGTACATTTAAAAAACAAAGATTACAACAGTATTTCCTTTACAAAGTATCCCATTAAAGACAAATAAAATAAAAAAACCTTAAGTCCTTCCACAAAAATTTACTTTCTTCTTTGTCATTAAAAGGTTCTGATGGAGATGAAAACACATCACATGCACACATATCCTTGAAAATGCTTGATACAAGTGCAGACTGGTACATGTGGTTACCTGAAGCATTACTATGTCCTTGTCAAACATCTCCCTCCTGCACTTCACATTATGATAGTAATAAATCTGAAACAAACAAACCAACCACAATAATTAACAAACATCATATTTAAACTAATCCATTTTCACTGTGGAAAAATAAACTTTGTTATACAGTATTAGTAAACAAAAAATGAACCCATGTTTTGAAAAAAATACACAAATATATTTGTACGCAAAAGGTGTTTTTATATAGCACAAAACAAGCATAGTTGCTGGCTGGGTTGTATTGATTGAATGTCAAGATTGCACACATAGAAGGAAACATCCTGTGGACCTCTTTGGGATAGGTTTTAATATATCTACTTGTTTAGCAATTAACTGTTTCAAATTCACAGGAGAAAAAAATCCTTGCAGTTGAAGAAATGTTCTTTCTTTTTTCCACGAACTGCTCTTTAATTATTTGGGATATAATCTTCCAGGAATTGCCAGTTTCAGCAAAATGTTAATATTGTGATAGAACATACTTAACCCAGACCACCCTGGAAGTGAACTCAACAGTACTGCTCCAACCAGCAGCAACACCACAATTACTGCATGGCACTGAAATGTGGGCAAGGTTGATTCTACCACAATTAGGGAAAAATAAAGGGGCTGTCAAGTTTCTATGTGGGACTGGGAACAATCTTTAGCATGCTAAACTCTCCACTACAGACATACCATTTCTCACCAGAATTTCATGGAAGAGAGCTAGGCATGCCTTCCCCCTCTTCCCCACATCAATGCCCATTCCTGTCCTCTAGGAAAATATCCAAAAGGAGCTGGCTGAATATGAGCTCTCCATGGCCAAAGGAAAGAGAAAGGACTTCCAGGCTGTGGGAGCCATATTACCTGAACTAAATCAGGCTCTTAATTTCAAGTTGCTGACAACCAGAGGAAATGAACAGAGACTTATTTCTCCAACAAAAGCTCTGCTGAAATTTCAGATTTTACTTGCCTACAGTAATATGGGCGCTGCTGTAATTGTACATAAGTAGAGCGCCTTTTGATTTAATAATGACAATAAAAGACATCACCTTATTAAGATTATTTAGGTTAAGAGGCAAGAAGTGCCAGAATATAATAAGTTTGAGCAGCTTAATTCAGTCTCCTAGCACACATGCACTGCAATTATCTACTGAAGATGGGGGCCTGTGGGAAGGAAAGACACTTCTTGCAAATAAATCAAGTTAACACCTCACAGAACTAAATCCTGTTTCTGTTGCAATCCACGCCTTGCTGAGAAAACCACTTTAGATGATCACCCTGGTGGGTGGAACTGACACTACAGTACCCATTTTATACTTGTTATAGTTGAAACATCTAAGACCTAATTTGTACAAACACAGAGAACATAAGTTTAGAGATGGATGGAGCCAGTCTCCAGAAGTATGAAAGAAGTATGATAGATAAAAGCCAAGAAACACTTAGTTCTGCACTGGTTCTAATGCTTCTGTGTGTTTTTTTTATTTCAATTAACTTATAAACATAAATTGGAATAATATCTTAATGGTGCCTATTTTTACATTTGAGACAGTTATTTGTGAAGATGATGAATGCATTACAGAAGATGCACAGATCTAACTCTGCACTTAGTGCTGCTGTTGGACGGTACACAGTAAAAAGACTAGGAGTCATTAACTGCATTATGCTAAAATTTCTTTACACACAAAGCACTAAGTTCACTGAGTGCTTAGCAGTCCTGAAACAAAAAAGCAACTTCTGACTAAGAAATCAAAGACCATTAAAAGCACAAATATTCAAATTATGCGAGTGCTGATGTAAATGCCTACCTCGCACTGCCTCCCATAAGATATACATAAGTGAAATTTGAAATCAATCCAGAAAGGGGAGGTTTTGAGGTCTGAAATTATCTTGGGGGACTTATAAGAACACAGTGATTCTATAGTTACTATGTACTTACCTGATTAACAAGAGAGAACCCATTTCTTCTCCACATCCCTGCATGCACTTGGGCACATAGGACTAAGCATCGTAGAGGATGTTCTATTAACATAGGTGGGCTAAGTTCACTCTGCATTAAAAAAATGCAATATTTTGATACATATAGAGAAAATAAAAGAAAATAGGACTGAAATGAAGGAGGATGATATTTGTAATCATTAAAATATTTTGGCAATACAAACCAGAAGCAACTCCAATGCATGTATTACCAAGGTTTGATGAGCCTATTCACAATCTATCCTCGATTGCTGTTAACCAAGCTTACATTCTGTCTTTGCTCCACAAGGGCTTTATTCTTAAAGACAGCAGGTTTTGTACTTTAAAACATCAACACTATGAATTTAATAACGTTGTCATTTGCTTGCTTTCTTTCAAAGCTTAAGTGCTGCTTCTTTCAAAAGACACTGAGATTTCTTCTCCCAGTTATGTTTTCTCCCCTTTTAATTTATCTTGTTCTTTTTAACTTCCCCTTAAAGAACCATCATATCAATAAGAAAATGCAGGAAGCAAGAAACAGCTGGGGAAGAAAATCAGAACCTAGGCCAAGGAGAAGGAATCAGGTCCTGCCAGGAGCTCCTAAAAACAGTTTCTACTACAAAGAGAAGGCAATGCACAAAGAACAAAATACAAACCTTATACCCAAGTCTTTAGTTAAGAGAGTAATACTGACTGCTTATGTACCAGTTATGGATATCTAGCTATTAATCTTTTAAGAGGTAATTTTATGGACTAAAGATAGTCTCTCTAAACAGAACTCATAGCAAAAAGGTCCTTTGTTTTATTTAATAATATCCTACACTTATATAACCAATTTCATGTTCAGCATTAATTATATTTAATGAATATGCTACATTTAATTACATACCAGGGGTAGCAGCTCTGGAAACTTATATGCCACTTCAGTTTTACTCAGCAAAACATGCAAGCCTGCATAAATACATGAAACAAATACATACATACTATTACACACAATATTTTATATATTTCAGATAGGACAAAAAAGGTCATCTTTACTACTGGACCATTTTATGGACACAGCTACAAGTAGGACTGCAGATTTATCACCCTGGAACTACACAGCTATTTCCTGAAAAGACATATTACAAAGCATACATTTTAGGAGAATTAACGTTTTCCCATTATATCTGTATAAAACTTGCAGTACAAGTGAGATTTTTGTTTTTCTTTTGACTCTGTCATGTCCCCTCAGAGACAGCCAAGAGTCTTCGGTCTATCAGGTCAAGTTATCAACAACAAATACCTCATTCTTTCTATCAGTCTTTAGAGGCCTATAAAATAACTCCGGAACTATAAAATACATAAGAATATTCTGGTTGGCTTTGTTTTAAAGCTACAAGGGTTTTGCTTACAGATTCAAACATTCAAAGTTATTTGATGCTGAGCTGCACAGTAATCTACCTAAGAATTATCTTTTCACTTCATTGCCAGTGAATTTATTTTTATCATACGACTTTCTGATTCTGTACGTTAAAATTCATCAACCTTTTTTCAATACAACTGTTGATAGGCATAATATTAAAAGACAGACAAGCTTAATTTTCTGGTGACACATCTGTTTGATAAATCTGTTCTCTAACAGAATGTTGATTAGTTTATTCAATCTGACAGCTAAACATATTTCAAAACAGTCAACTACAGTCCATATTCCGTTGCATTTCTTTTGGATCACTTAAGTGGCAAAAGCAGCAGTAACTGCCTACAACACACCCCAGTGACAAATCCAGAGGCATGAGATAATCTCCCCCAGGCCTGAAACGATAACAGTTTCTCCAACACTTGTGAACATTTTGCCTAGAGGCTACCAAGCAGCTAGAAGATGGTCAAAATGCATCCTATTCAGGCTTTAAAACAACCGGTGGGTTGTTCCTTACGTACATGCAAATACAAAACACATGTACATTTTTCACTTCTTGAAATATTTTTAAACTAGTTCATACCTGCAAGTAAACGAGAAACGGGGAGATGAATGCTAACTTTTTCCTGAGAAACACAGTATCTGATCGTCTCAACTGAATGTCCACACATACTGAGAACAATAGGCTGTTCTCCGTCAGTAAAACCACTATGACACTGCATCAACACAGTCAGGCATTTCTTGTAAGCTTCAATTAACACTTTTTCCTAAAAGAAAGATTGCAGTTTACAGAGATTATGGAAAAATAAAAACAAACCCCAATAGAGCTCTGCAAAATAATACAGCCAAGGTAAAGTCTGATGAGTTTTGGGTTTTTACCTTATTAGCAGTCCTACGAAATTAAGATAAGGAATCCAACAAAAGGATTTTGTTGTTTTGACTGGAATAACATCCACTATTTTTTGATGTGTTGTTTTGGGTTGTTTTGTAACATATTATGGGAATTTTCTGAGCAGTGATCATGCTAGGCTAGTAAAACCTGCTCAAGTAACAAACAGTGACAGATCAAAGCCAGCTTGAATGTTCAAATATTCTAGGATCACTTGTTCCACACCCATATTTTACCATGCTGAAGTTCTGTACTCCTACAACTTGAAACACTTATGAAGTAGAAACCTGATTTATCATCAGGCAGCATTTGGTAGATATCCAGGGCCTACTCCTCTATGCCCTCTTCTCTGATAATTATAACCTGATAGAGTTGTGAGGATCTCAACTTTCAGATGTGTGACAGAACTTTCTCTGTAATATTTTTTTAAAAAGCCTTAACCACATTCTTATGACTTGGTCAGTTTAAGCCATGAAAGATATGTTTAAATACAGAAAAGATTTGCACTTGCTCAGAGAACATGATCTTGGCTTATGGTGCAATTGTGTGTCTTGCTCAGTTGTTAAATATTTGTTTGTTTTTTCTTCCCCTTCACAAATCCACATGGAAAAACAATTCAGAAGGAACTTACATCTAAAGCACACCAGTCCTGCATCATTGAAATAACAAGTGTTAATTTCATCTGCAATGTAAATGCTGCTTCCCATTCTGGTTCCATTTCTATGTGTTGTCCTACTTGACGAGTTATTGGATCCATACCCTAGAACAAAAAGAATTATGTATTTCAACAATATATCACTGAAATACACTAATGCTAATGTTGTCAACCTAAGACAGTAGCTACCTGCACTTATATAGTTGCTACAAGAAAAAAGAAGCTTGGGACCACGTGAAAAGGAATTCTATACATCCAAATAATAACAAGAAAATGAAACAGGAATTGGAAGAGAAGAATACTGGGACAAGAAAGGTTTTGGATATAAGCTCTATTTATTATTAACACCTGCAGCGATTTCAGTATTATGAGCACTACAACATTGTTTGCACACATACATTATCTTACATACACATCTTGGTTTTTTAATGTATTTTCTAGGGATGTGCTATTAAATGCAGTTAAGTACTAACTAAAGACTGGGTACTACAGTACTTAATCAGCTCCTGGTATAAGATGGAAAAAAAAAACCCAAACAACTGCATTATCTGAGAATTACAATATATTCAAGACAGTATCATAAACAGACTAACACAAGATAAGTACTGAGAAAGGTATGCTACTGAAGTACTGAAAAGTTGGAGTAATTCTGACTTATACCTTACTGACCATATAGTCAATTTGCCCTTGTGAAAGCTGCACTGCTTTTAAAATACTCCTCTTAAGGTAACATAGCACATGAAAAGGCTGGAGAAAAAAAACACAGTGAAGAGGTCTATTTGTATGTCAGGAACTATATATTCCTCAGCACAAGAAGCAACTCTGATGACACTTCAGTAGTAACTGGAGCTCTCACTATGAGGGAAAGTTGGTTAAGATGGACCAGATTTCACTCACACAATTAATTGTGTCTTATCTGCCCGTATGGCTGCACAATATGCCCAAAATGACATTTTTCTTTTTGAACTACTCTTCCTTTTCGCTGCCCTCTACAATAAACTAAATAAAAAAAATGTGAGATGTTATGTTTTGGCTCCAAAAGTTACACTGCACTGAAGTTACAAAATGGAGAGTACCTTAAATTTCCTACATTTTTATATCATGATAGTTAACGTGCTGCTTTAACACAGCACAAATTCTGCAATTCACAGATCTACATACCTGCATACATTTTAGTAGCTCTAAGAAGGCATCAAAACCCTCTAGGAACTTGTGCCTCAAGTCATCTGACCACTCAGTTGGCTTACTTATCAACACATACCTGGGTACATTAGAAAGATACAAGTGTTAATATTTTTTTTCCCTCCTCAATTGATCAAATTGGCACATAGTTAATATACTTACTTCAGATCCAAAATAAGGCTCTGAACACGCCTGAATTTGAAAGCCTGTAGAGCAGTGTAACGTTCAAACTGAAACCTGCCTTGGACGTCACGGTGCCTTAAGTGGTCCATAAAAGTTTTGATGATAGTGGTCATGAGATTTTCTTCCGTTATTAGCATTCGAGCCTATGCCAAAGTACATTGAAATTTGCTGTAATTCACAAGACACAGCTAACAAGAGTTTCACACTGTACCATGAAGTTTATAAAATACATTAATTTTTATCCAAAATAGGTACATCAATAATTAAAACAGAAAAACATATTGAAAGCCAATCTTCCAAACATTCACAGAGGAAAAAAAGTAATCTAGCCCCAAATTATCATAATCCAGATATCTCTTCAGATCCCTTCTGTACAGAAGTTTGACTATGGTTAGGCTCCTGCTAACCTGTATCATTATGACACAAGACATATGTTATTATGTGTTTTATAATTAACTTGCACCTCCCTTTAAGTATGTGTTGTCTCTCATATAATTTAGCACGAGCCCTTCAGGGGAGTAACAGCTCTTCTGCTTTCTGTTTACAAACTGTCAAGCACTGAGGTGAACAGCACATCTTCTGAACTACTAAGGAACTGTATAGTGCAATTTCCACGTGGAAATTATGTGAAATGACTTCCAATTCCCTTCAAGGGCTACTGCATATATACATGTGTTGTAGGAAACAAATCAACAGGCATGACAAAGTCCAATGAAGATTGTCTTCTGCACCCAACCTAACCTAACCCAACCCCACAACAGAGTAGGGGGCACTAAGAAGTTACTGCCATCTCCTACTTGTGAGCTCTTCCAGAACTCCCCCATTCTGTTGGTTCTCCAAGGTAAATGGGATGACTCTTGCAGTTCTTAGATTCCATGAGGATTTTATTATGTGGCTGGGAGATGCAGTAAGATTGGTTACTCTGATCTACCTCAACGACGCTGTGGTTGTTGACTAGAGCTTCTGGGTTCTACAGTTGCTAATGATGCTGCAAAATAGTTTCTAAAATGCTAATGCGGGAGGGGGGCAATCTGATGTTTAACATTTTCCCCAAAAAAATCATGATCGGTACAACTACCCATCTGCCCTCAAACCAAACAATCTCAGTTACTTGAGAGCTCAAACTCTTAAATTACTAAGATCAGTTTGCAAATGTTATTGGGGGGTGTTGGGGTAGTTTTACATTCTTCAGCTTATTTGTTCAGTTAAGAATAAATCCAAATGGCTCTAAATATAGAAAAAATAATTCTTATTTCATGTGGTAGGAGCTTATCATAATTACTTTCATGTTATGTCTATTCTATACTTCTACAAAACAGTTAAAACCAATTTGTTTTACTTTTTTGGCAGGCTTTTGAAATAAAAAACATGTAAAAGGGACACTGCAATTACTCTCCTCTAAGGAAATGTTTGAAATTCTTCTTTTTTTTTAAAAAGTATTAATACACACATTCTGTCATCTGTCAAAGGAAAAAAATAATACCATAACCATTTCTATAATACTAGTTAGTTAAGGCTAACTGTAAATCTGAATACTGGCAACATTCTTATTGAGAGCATCAAAATCAAAAGAAGTAATATGATATTGCCCTGAACCATGGAAACAAAATCCTGTTGATTTTCCATTAATAACATCCAGCCCTAGGAAACTGAAAACCAACTTTGCTCAGGATCATAACTGCCATGCTACTATTGAATTTGAGAGCTCAATTAAGTTGATTAAATTTGGAAGGATTCAGAAGCATTTGTTTTTTAAACAATTCTGGCTATGAAAATCAGACTTTTATTTCCAGTACAGCTCCAAAGTTTAACTTGTCTAGTTTGTAATGCAAGCAAAGACAGACTTATTTGGAGACTGCAGCTAAAAAAGATGTTTCCCAAACAAGCATAAGCTAGTGAAAGACCAGCAGAGTTAGTGAGCTGGGAGAAGTAACAGCGCCTGAAGCACTGTAACAAAAATTAACTGGAAACCTGAAAGAATGCACAGTCTGAGTCTAGAAGTACCAAAGGAAGTAGGGAATATCATGAGACAATTCCTGCTTGCACTTGTGCTGACTGGAAAATTAACATAAAGTGGATCATTTCTAAAACTGCACCAGAATGGTATGCTCTGAAACTGTCATATGCAAAACATAATGTAGATTTCTACAACGAGTAGCTGTGGCTCAGTATGATGAGGAATTTAAATGTTCTGTGTGTGCCTCTAAACAAACACTTAAGTACCTTTCTAAAAAAAGTAAAGAAAAAATGTAAAAAGAAAAACCAAAAATACCCAGCCCAGTTTGGGAAGTCAGACTCAAACTTTGCAATGCTGAATGCTTTACCTTCTAAACCCATAGCTCTGTATTGTAAACAGTCTGCTGTGCAGCAGCAGTGCCATGCACTTCCACTGTAATGTTAAAAGAAATCTTGATTCAAGAACCTTGAGTTGCTTTCAACAAATAAAGATTTCCTTTTTTGGTCTTTCAGTACTTACAAGAGAAGGCACTGTGAATATCTGTATCGAGAGGTCAGCAATTGAGAACTCTCTGTCGTGGTCATCTTTCATAAAATCACTCTGCAATCGCTCATAGTTCTATTAAGAAGGAGGCAAAAAAAGGCAAGGAGTGCCAACTATCAGTTTTTAAAAGAAAGACAGGCACTACTCACCAGAGTAGGTACAGTGAAGAGTTGGACAGACAGAGCAGCCACCGATACTGCCCGTTCGTGATCATCCTCCATATAATCTCTCTGCAACTGCCGGTAATTCTAAACAACAAGGGGAAATTCACCTCTAATCCACACTGACCTGATTTTTTTTTATTTAAATGTCTGCTCTGGGAAACTTTAATGCCAGGATAAAGGTAAGAATAGCTCTTATGGATTATTATACAGATATTTTGTACAAAGAACACGACAACTTAATCTGCTCACACATGAGATCTACACGCTCATTTTCACAATAAAGGATAGTATCTTATTTTCTGCTCAAAAAAACTATTTGTCTTCAGCAGAGTGAGCAGAATTTTGCAATGCTGATTTAAAGCATTTCAAATACTAGTTACTGCAGAAATACTAATCAGCATAACTGAATTTCAGCACTGTTTCTGAGTAGTGCTGTACCAGCTTACACCTCAACAATGAGAAGTGATTAGCTCTTAAGAGGTCATAGCCTGCAGAGTTGATGGTGAAGACAAAAACATCTGAATTGCTTTAGTTCTCGGGAGCCTGGAAAGCCCATTTTCTTCCCAGGAGATGAGACGTCATTATAACTAATATTTTGAAGACAGAAATAAGGTAGTCAGCATTTCATTTCAACTTTTCACTTCCAAAAAGAGGAAAAAAATTCTGGATAACAGCTCATTTAAAGCACTGTAAGCTAACTAAACTCTCTTCACTAGACAGTTTAAGCATTTAATGGCTTTTTGTAAGAAAGATACTTACTCTTGCAAAGCGGATAGCAAAAAGTTTCTTGTATTTCAAATCCATAAGTAGACTGCTCATGAATAACTGGTGATACACATTTCTAGCTCCTGTCAAGAAAAATAAATGAAGCATTGCATGTCACTATTTCTATCAACATATTATAGAAACATTTAGAAAAGTAAACTTTTACAGAATGAGGTAAGTGTGCATTTCAGAGCAGAAGCTGCTTTGATTAAGTCTGTAAGATGGTAGCAAAGGCTGAACAATAATACATTAAACAAAATTCTTCAAGTGCCATTATTTATTACTACTGTGTAAGATAACACTGAGCTGTTGAACAGGAACATAAACCTTCAATATAATACAAGTCAGGCAAACAAGAACGGAACTCAATTCGTCTTCATGGTAAACAGAGGATTTGGATGGCCCAGGGAAAAAAAAGCACACTATTATGAGAAGCCCTGGGAACTGCAATAAATTTGTTAGTTGTGAAAAACTCTGCAAAATAATCAGCTTAGCTATCTCAATTTCTAGTCTGAGCAGCATCCCAGAAAATATTATCAATACAAATGAGAATTGACTGTATGCAGGTTGGAAATACATGCACGTATGTACCATTTCTTTCTGTAGGTCACTTTTAAGTCAGTAGCCATTACACTGTTTCCTTAATGCAGAGTAACTATGGAGTACATGAAAAAGTAGAGAAATATTGATGTTGAAATAGCAATGTGAGTTACTCCTTGCTTACATGTAATACATTACCCTAACAAAACCTGTATTAAAATGTTGTAATGGTCCACAAAAGTAGTAC